GTGAGTGTGTAGAGTTTTACCTGAACGTAGTTTCAGATCCTTCCTGGCGTCATGCAGTGATGCCCATCAAAGTGCGCTGCTTCCAGACCATTAGGCCAGAGCCAATGAACTAAATTTTTTTAGCCCCTTTAAAGAATGATCTATGAAAATAACACCTTACCATTATGTGCTACAGGTGTTAATTCACCCAAATCTTGAGTAATTCTGATGATTGTGCATAGTGTTAAAGTCATCTTTATTTTTTTTTCTCCAGAACAGAAGTAGCATGTTTTTGACAGCTTTTGCTCTATAATACCTAAGCGGTTTATTTATGCCATTAGATGCAGGGTCAGAGGTGAAACACCTTTAAGCAAAAGAAGCTATAACAAAATAAACTCATAATGCAAGGCAGTGTTGAGAAGGCACATTTATAAACTCTTTTGTTTAATACAAGTTGTCTTCGTTCATCGGAGCAACGATAAATGCCATCCGTCTGTTTCCTGGGTTTCACTTAGCGATGGCCCGGCAGGCGACCCCTCAGAGAAGCCCTCAGTTCCTCTCTGCTGCCCCCCTCGGCGATTCTCGTTTCTTCTCCTGCCTGGAGGCCGACCGAGCCAAGACCTTCTTCCAGTTCAGCTCTCCGGCCAGAGACAAGAACCAGTCCTTCATCAATAAGCACTGAAAGCAAATCTTTACTTTTATGCTTGCTGTCAAATTTACAGATGTTTTTTTTTTTTCTGGTGTGTTCTGATGACTTATGAATACTATAAGTGTATTTCTTGCATTAATTGACTATATTATATGCTTATGTAATAGTAGATTTTTTTGTTATTGGTGACTTTTATTTTCCATCTGTGTAGATCATCTAGTTCACATTGACTAAGATAATTCAGTAGTTATTATTGATATTTTTTATGTTTATTTAACTGATAGAATTATTATTGAAGGTATAAATTGTAAACATGTTTACCAGTGCACCGTAATAAACAACCAAAGCTGGTGGTTATGTGAAATCCAGGCTGGGACTGAATGTTTGAGAATATTAAATAAAATGTTCTGGAAATAGTTTTACAAAACGAAACATGAATTGCACTTAGTTTTATAACTTATTTACCTATTGAAAATCTGCAAACGGCTGTGCCACACGGAGAGCTGTCTTTAAAATGTCCGGCTTTGCGCCGATTCAACCATAAGGATTATTTTTTTAAGATAACACACAGACAAAAACTTCACAGAAAAAAAATGTATTCTTTACGTCAAGAAAACAGAATTCAGGACTCCACATTACAAGCTTATTCATTTATAAAATAACCCTGTTTTGGAAAAAAAAACTAAGTAGGATCATAAATATAAACAACCAAAAAAGTGAGGGGTATTTACAGAAAAAAAGGTGAAAAATCAGGCACGGAATTGGAAAATTTGAAAAACCTAACCGATCGACTCACTCCAGCCAAAGGTTTCAGTGGTAGCTGACAGAAACCGGGATCTGACTTTGGGCGTTCTGTAACTTCCCGTTGACGATGAGGAGCAGCGGAGAATCCACGCGTATGCTTTTAAAGTCGTACGACTGTCGCAAAGAAGACACGAGGAGGTTAGACCCACAGACCCTAAATTGAAATCTGACAAAAAGACGCAGGAAATGCTGACCTTGTCTTTATGTGTGATGCTGTGACGCTTGACGTTGGGTTCGGGGACGACAACGGAGTCGCCGATCAGGACGCCCCAGTTGTCCGCCGTGTTGTAAACCATCACCACCAAACACGTCTCCTCGCTGTCGACCATCCCAAACGTACTGCAGGGAACGAACAAGGTGGTAACAAAAACCAGAATCTCACAAAGTGTAACAGGAGTGGATCTCATTTCTAAGTACATCTTGATTAGACAGCACTCAGGAAAGTATTGACTGAGAGATCAAACTATAAAGCCTAAAGTTGGAGAGTAGTTGCACTTACAAGGCCATGCGACCCTGAGAGGCCAGGCTGAACACCACCTTCCCCAGGGCGGCCACACCGCCATTGTGGCCATGCGTGAGAGAGGAGAGGGGCCGCGGCTCGAGACTGCCCACTCGGCCGGACGGAGCGCGGAACTGCGGGGACGAGCACGGCCCCAGAGCGGACGTGTTGAGGTTTGACAACATCGTCTTCAGCCGACGGGTTTTCACCTTGCCCTGCACACACACGCACGCACGCACGCACACGCACACGCACACGCACACACACACACACACAAAAAAGTCTTGGGCAAAGAACAACCATAGCTGCACTTTGCTGACACCTTGTGGTCAAAACAGGGATTGTACACTTTTTCCACAGTAAAATTCAAGCACTTTTCAAGCATTCTCAATGTAAATTTTCATATAAAAATACAAACGAACTAAAGAAGACAGGTTCAACTCAGTATAGTATTACATCATTCATTAATGTTAATGTTTTATGATAGCATTCTACATAGCAAACTTTCTTATATTTTAGAAAAATAACTTGAAAACAACACTATGGAGCAACTTAAAACTCTTTGTTGTAGAACTACTGAACTGTTCTAAAGAAATTACAACAACAACAACAAAACATAGGGTAGTGGTGGGAAAGAGAAGCATGCTTGCCCCACCTTGTTCTGGATGAGTTCTGTCACTTTCTCCAGATACTCCAGCAGCTGCTTCTCCTTCTCCAGCGGCTCCTCCCAGTTTGGGTCCAGCGCCGCCGCTCGGCTGTAGCCTTCAAGCGCGCAGCCGAACATCTCCTCATAGTAGAAGAGGTTGGCTCTGTTGAAGTGCAGATCTGGCATGCTGCTGGCAATCTTGTCCGCCGCCTCCATCGGAAGGAAACCATATTAGCGAATTTTTCAGTTTCAACAGCGGGAATAACGAGGGTATCCTTGTGTAAACTCACAGATTTTGCATAGGCGCTCAGAGCTTGTTGGGAGAATTGTGGGTTCTGACCACAGTTGAAAAACAGAGACAAGTAGGCGTTTCCAAGAATGCCTGAAAAACATGAAACAATGAATTAAAAGTAAAGTGTTTAAAGAAGCACCTAGAGATTACTCGCTATTATTCTACTCACACCATGAAGTCCCATCACCGGGATCCAGCTGCACCGCTTCCCGGGCCAGGTCCACACTCTCCAGCACATGCTTCCCATGTTGATCTTTGTTGGGTGTTGGCAGCTGCCTCAGCACCATGGAGAGGTTGCGTAGCGATACCTTATTCTTCTCCTACAATAAGTAAAAGGATAAAGAAGTGATTAGGTGATTAGATTACAGAGAAAACAATCACTGCTCCTTGTCTAAGTGACATACATGCTGCAGGGCACCAGTGAAGCAGTTCTTGGATGCAACCAGGTCTCCCTTTTTCCAGTACTGGTCCCCCAGTATGTTCCAGGCCTCGACCAGGCAGGGATCCAGCTTCACCGCTCGGGACAAGCACTCCTCGGCTGCAGCGCTGAAGTCCGGGGTCACGTTCAGACACCTGCCTTTTTGCAGCAGAAACTCTGCGTTGTGTTTTAAGATGTCTGACAGAAACAAACAAACAAACAAAAAATTAATTTGTGAATGATATTTTACAGTATTAATGTTATGAACATTTTGATTATGAAAATCTAGAGCCACCTTCTTTCTCCTCCAGCCTCATCAGTGTTTCCTCCATCTTCTGTTTGACGTCACCGTCTCTCCGACCGGCCTCCTCCACGCCGTGCGTCTCAAAGTAGCAATCTCTGAAGTTATGCAGCTCGTCCACCAGCTCCTGTGTTGGTAGAGGACAAGTGGTGAGAGCAATTCAGACCACTGATACAAAAAACATACAATGACAGAAAAACCAAAACAAGACAAAACCTTTGAGGACACAATCAATGTGACTAAAGATAGTCATTTAATCCTGGAAATGTTCTGCAGGTGATAGAAGGCTGGCTTTGTAACTGTCTTTATATGTCTGAGGAAGTCTGAGAGAAACACTCTATCCTGATTTCAGGCCTGATCATTAGTTCCTAGCTGTAATAACTGAAGCTGTGTGCTAACTCTAGATAATAGATAGCAACATCTGATTTGTTTCTGTTCAGCTGAAGAAAACTATGGCACAACCATGAACGAATTGTTCTATGGATCTGCTCAACATTTGAACAGATTCATAGTTACCTGGTGACATTGTTTCAAAAATCTTTCTTTGCATTTTTAAGCGAACACCAGCGACATAAAAAGTAGAAAAAACGGCATGACATAGAGCTCTAAATTGAATGTGACTTACTTGATGATAAAGCTGTCTCTTATGATGCCTACAATTATACTAGCCTTTAGAGTTCACTTTACCTTTCCGCAATTCAAGACTTTCTTATGAATGTTATTTAAGCGTGTATTTGAAGAAAGCAATAGTGAGACAGTATAACAACAGCTGACTGAAAATAAGCTATGACTCCATATCATACCAAGGACCTGCAATGGTCAGAGGCTATGTTTGCTTATATCAAACTGGGTGATGGTGATCCAGGATAACCTACCTTGATGATCTGCAGCTCAGTTTTGGCTTCTCCAGCTCCACTACTCTCCTCTTTCTCCGCCATCTTTGAAAAACAGCTTCGGAGGAACCCAACGAGTAACGGAAAAAAAAATTCTCAGATGTTTTTTGAACTAGTTCTACATTTAAACATAAAACCTGGCTATATGGACAGCTGCTAATGTTCCTTTATTATTATTATTATTATTATTATTTTAATACTGCAGAGCAATTTTTCCACAAAGGAAAAGGGCTTTTACTTTTAGGGACACCGGAAGTTGTCTTTGATAAGTTTCTTCTTCTTGCTTGTCTGCGGATGGTTGGCAGACAGCATTTGGTGCATTACCGCCACCAACCTAGAAGGAGTGTAAATCAGGACATCCAATCTAAAAGTGTTTTATCTTAAGCATAACTGTTATATATTTAATGAATGCTAATAAAGAAAAGTTATTCTTGGAATTACAAATAAAATTACAAAATAACAACCCGTGATGTTCGGAATTAGGAGCCTTTTTTGACAAAACGGAATGTTTCTTTGTCAAACAGTATTTCATTCCGGCGCTTTTTTTTCCTGTGCACCACTCATACTTCTCTGTCTGGAGCGCGGATTATTTTCACCCTGTGTTTTGGTCCACTGTGACCAATTTCTGTGATCGCACAGCTCGGTGATCGAGCTCATCATGTCAGACACATGGAGTAACATTCAGGCCCATAAGAAGCAGCTGGACTCGCTGCGGGAAAGGCTGAAGCGACGGCGGAAGGACCCGGCGCAGCTGTCCGGGACGGGTACGTGAAGTTCGGGATGTGCACGGCGGCGGGAGCGGGGTCTGCAGCTTGCGGACATCGTTGCTGTTCCGGTTATTACTATGTTAAAATAATAGAAACAATCACTGGAAAGCTTGATTAAAGTGAGATCGCCTGCGCGCAAGGGTTAATTGAAAGCATCAGATATTCAAAGAGCCTTTTCTTTTATTATGTGTCTGTTAAAATATTTGTTACTGCCATATAACTAATGTACACCTTCTACATTTTGAATATTTTAAAAATTATGCAACCCGTTTAGGAGTCCACTGATCCGATGGCTGACTTTGTATTAAGATAATAAATTTGATATGAACCACCGATGATAAAACGGGAAATTAAAATATTATTAGGATCTCACATTTATTAGAGATAATATGTAAAACGAAAACTAACCAAAAAGTAACCTTTTGTTTTAACATATGACGATCAAATCCATTCATCAATCGAAGCATGAAGTCACTGTTCATTGCTCAGTTGTCCATCCATTACGTATCGATCCTCGATCAGCCGATCATCCACCATTCTACTATCCACGTATCCAACGATCTCCATCCAGATTTTGTATTACAAAATACCGACCTACAAAACACTGACCAACACAGTAGGCAAAAATGTGCATTTAGATTCAAATATTTCCATTCAAACATAGCAAATAGTTATGCAGTAAATATGAATCAAAGTTATGGAATAAACCCAATGCCCTGGGTGTTCTCCCTGTGATTCCTTTCCTACAAATTTCATCAGTCTTGTTCTCCACTCAGACGGCGGGCTCAGCGCTGAGGGTTCCACAGCCAGGAGCGACAGCCCAGCTCCATCAGCTCCCTCTACTTCTCAGGGGGAGACGGAGCAGCCACCGGACCCTGAGCTGGAGAAGAGGCTGCTGGGATATCTCTCCGATCTGAGCCTCTCGCTGCCCACAGACTCGCTGGCCATCACAAATCAGCTCAACAGTGTAAGTCTCCCAACAGCGACGTAAGGCATCTTCCGTCCCTTTATTTAGCGTTTCCATGTTGCGTTCCATCAACACAGGCGGAAGGTACGGTTACTCACGGATGCATCCAGAGTCTGCTGCTCAAGTTCTCCGCCCAGGAGCTCATCGAGGTCCGGCAGCCTACCTCCATCTCCTCCTCTTCCACAACTTCTTCTCCGCCCACCACCGTCGTCGTGGCTGTGGACCACACAAAACTGTGGGCCATGATTGGCTCTGTGTCCGGAGCCCAAAGAGCCGGGGTCAAGAGAAAAGCCGAAGACCAGACCCTCGGCGGCTTTTCGCCTAAACTTCAGAGCTCCGCGTCTCCTCCTCACGCGTCCTCCTCCTCCATTACGCCGGCTTCCTCGCTGCAGCTGGCGGGATCTTCGGCGGCAGGAAGCGGAGCCGAGAAGAAGGGCCGCAGCAGCAAGAGCCAGTCGTCTCACGTGGACATGGAGATCGAGAGTCTCCTGAACCAGCAGTCCACCAAGGAGCAGCAGAGCAAGAAGGTTACGAGATGTTTTAGATATTTCTGGAAGCACCTGAATAGGCAGGAGAGTGACCAGAGGAGTCTCATTGTCAGTGCTTTTATTTTATTTTTGTCTTAAAGATGAGTCAGGAGATCCTGGAGCTCCTTAATGCCAGCACAGCCAAGGAGCAGTCCATCGTGGAGAAGTTCAGGTCTCGTGGTCGAGCTCAGGTCCAGGAGTTCTGCGATCACGGGACAAAAGAGGAGTGCGTCCGCTCTGGGGACACACCGCAGCCCTGCACGAAGCTCCATTTCCGGTAGGTTATTTATGCCTTCTGCTTAACAAACATTTTAATTTATTAACGGTTTTCCAACTTGTTTTAAATATTTTATTCTGAAAATATTGAATTTCTCTGACAATATTTAGCGCAAACATATAGTATTTTCCGGACTATAGACCGGTGCGGTCTATAGTCCGGAAAATACTATATGTAGGTGTGGCTTATAGTATGGTGCATACTATAAGCCACACCTACAAAAAAAAAAAAACTGGAAACGTGCATATATAAGCGGCACCTGGGTATAAGCCACTGATATCTCCGCCGCTCTCAAGGACACAGCAGAGGGCTGCGTCCTTAATAAACCTGCTATTAAAGACGCAGCCCTGCATCTCCAACACTGAACCATGGATTGTTCACGCCAAGCTTACCTGCAGTGGCTTGATCAAAGCGACCTTCAACTTAAAAGCTGCATCATATGAGTTTGAATAAATTTCTCCGTCATGCCTGCTGCTAGCATGTGCTTGTTCTAAATGAAAATTAGCACTTTCTTCTTTTATTTTCAATTTTGACTTCCAAGGATTCACTTCCTGCTATAGAGCCCCCTGGTGGTTGAAGAAAAATCCACAGAAAAGCCGCACCGGGCCATAAGCCGAGTGGGAAAAAGTAGCGCTTATAGTCCGAAAAATACGGTGTATGCTTTTAAAAAGTATATGGAAATAAGAGAATAAACACCACATCTTCACAGTGCAATATAAATGCAAAATGCCCTTTTCAGTCAGAAGATGGAGCTGTAATTGCTCTTTAAATATATATTTATTCTGCACCAGCATCAGAACGACCAGTGTACATTTTCACTCAGTTATTGAGGTAGGAGGGCGTTTTTGCTGTCAAACATCTGTGTAAGCAATCCTTAGCTGCTTAAAAATCTTCATTTGAAAAGCTTTGTGGTTTAAAAAAATTATAATGTAAAATCAAAACAAACTCCAAAATAAAGTTTTTTTGTTTTTTTGTTGTTGTTTTTTTTTTTTTTAAAGAAAAGGCATCTGTAGAAACTCCTGCTGTCAACTGATACTACAAATATTTACTAGTGTCGTTAATTTGTGCTTTTATTTATTATTTACTTCTTTATTTATGGAAAATCTGTAGAAAAATCAATAGTGAGCTCAGCAAAGAAAATAATTCAGGAAAAACATGCCTCCCGCTGACAGTGTGGTGTTTTCTATGAGTTTATCTACATGGTTTTGGTCATCTAGGAAATTGTGTGTAAGAAAATAGTTTTAATTTAAATTCTTAAATGAGGTTCATTTTAGAAAGGAAAACTAATGAGAAACTGTTACCGTTGGTTTTAATATTAAAGCACATTAAGTACTGTATGTTGGGTTAAGCTGTTCCTGAGAGCGAATTTGATGTCTTTAAATATCAAATTCATCATCAAAGGAAAAGGTCAATAGCTTTTTTTTTTTTTTGCTAGTATTTAAAATGATAATTTAAATACAAATTTTTACATATATTTTTTAAATACATGGCAAAGATTTACAGCACCAAGAGTTTTGTCAACCAGCTTCCAACTTCTGTCTTTCAGCCGCATCATCAACAAGCACACGGACGAGAGCCTCGGCGACTGCTCCTTCCTCAACACCTGTTTCCACATGGACACCTGCAAGTACGTGCACTACGAGATCGACAGCCCCCCCGAGGCCGAGAGCAGCCTGATGGGGCCCCAGTCGGGGACCCCGGAGATCGGGCTGCACGCCGAAGACGCCGACAGCAACGTGGGCAAACTCTTCCCGTCGCAGGTGAGAGAAACGAGGAAAAACCCGCCGCCGAGAAGGACGAGGAGATTTTTTTTTTCCCTCCACGGGTTGTAAAGCTGCTATTTGGTCCTCAGTGGATCTGCTGCGACATCCGCTACCTGGACATGTCCATCCTGGGGAAGTTCTCCGTGGTGATGGCCGACCCTCCCTGGGACATCCACATGGAGTTGCCGTACGGGACGCTGACCGACGATGAGATGAGGAAACTCAGCATTCCCGCCCTGCAGGATGACGGTTTCCTCTTCCTCTGGGTCACTGGGAGGTAAACGAAGCAACCCTCAACGCTCAGTTTACCAGTAAACACACTCTGTCCGTCGTAAGACTGCTCCTCCATTGATACCCATCAAATCCATATTTAATCTCAATTTAAGGCAAGTTAATTCATACCAAATTTAACAGATGGATCTTGTCCTTTTACAGAGCAATGGAGCTGGGCCGGGAGTGTCTCAGCCAATGGGGGTAGGTGCTGCTTGTTTGTCATGTGTTACCCGCTCTTTATTCTTCCCCTCCTCATTGTTTCAACATGGCGTCCCCTCAGCTACGAGCGCGTCGACGAGATCATTTGGGTGAAAACCAACCAGCTGCAGCGAATCATTCGCACCGGCAGGACGGGCCACTGGCTGAACCACGGGAAGGAGCACTGTCTGGTAAATTAAAGTCCAATCAGTTGTTCTTCCTGCCGCTGCAGAAAGCGAACGCCTGAAAACCACGTGGGCGTCGTGTTTTGGTTTGTCTTCAGGTGGGGGTGAAGGGAAGCACGCAGGGGTTCAACCGAGGTTTGGACTGCGACGTCATCGTGGCCGAAGTAAAGCTCCAGTCATCTTCAGACACAGGTTATTATTTCCAGTTCCTGTCCGCTCGTAATCGTCTGCGCTCTCTGACTCAGGTCCGCTCCACCAGCCACAAACCAGATGAGATCTATGGCATGATCGAGCGGCTGTCGCCCGGCACCAGGAAGATCGAGCTCTTCGGACGACCTCACAACGTCCAGCCCAACTGGTAACCCTTTACTTGTTTAGGAGGAAACAGTTTATCTGTTTATCAAAGTTCATCGTCTTTGTCGCCGAGTGTCTCCAGTCAGAGGCTTCTTCAAATTCACTGTGACGCAGACTGCTGCAGGAGATCTTTCCTGCCCACTGCCATCACCATGTATAATAACTCTTTGAGGAATGTTGAATTAATATGAGTTACGTCAACATTTAGGTTCCCTGTGGGATCGATAATGTTTTTGAATTTGAATTTCTTGTTGCATCACCTAACGGATTCTGATCTGAATCTGGAAAAATGAAGATTCTGTTTTTAGATTGATTCAAGTCTTTTTTTTATTTTTTTTCTTGCTCTTGGTTTTTTTGTCGTCTCACCAATAATTTTTATGTCTCGTTTCACAGATCTTTTTTATTTTACTGAAAGAATCTACGGATAAATATAATCTTAAACCGGGACCATTTTACTCTATGCCACCTTAAATCAGGGTTTAAATCAAGACATTAAACCTTAATGCTCACTTTTTATGGAAAAAAAAAAGATAAAAAATTACTAACGACGCTGCACAGAATCCTTAGATGTTTTAAATGTTAAAATAAATCTTGTAAAAGTCAGAGCAGAGGCCTTAACATAACCTCTCGCCTGATCAGACTCGAGTTTCATTGTGGTTTCTGGTAAATGTTTTCCACTCAAAGGTCAAGAATGCTCCAAAAAATATGAGGAAATGTGAGTGTGGAATTTTGAAATGTCAATCTTAAACCTGTTTTGTGGACTAAATGTTGGCGTTCTCGCGCTCTGTCCAGGATAACCCTGGGGAACCAGCTGGACGGCATTCATCTTTTGGACCCGGAGGTCGTGGCCCGCTTTAAGGAGCGATACCCAGACGGAGTCATCTCCAAGCCACACACACAGTGAGGATGCCACTGTGTGTGTGTGTGTGGAGTTTGATTTAGGACTGATTTCTTTTTTTAATTTTAATTTTTTTTTTATAACTGTGAATACTCTTTAATAAATATTTCAGGACAAGATGCCTCGTCTGTGTTGTGTTTTAGATGAATGTGGAGAGAGAACCTTTTGCTACTTGGTTGGAAAATTTTATATTCATTCTGGGTTATTTAATGACAGATTTGACTCTATTTTACACTGCGGAACGATTTGGCAACAAACAACTCTGGGGAATTCTAAAAGCAAGACTTGGTAGGACAAGATTAAATTTATTTTGGATTTTTCTCTAATCCACGCAAGACGAAAGTGATCCACAAAAGCCCAAATGTATACATACACACTCTTTTAAGATGTGTTCATTTGTTCCTCACCAAATCACACATCAGTTTGTGTCATTTGTGTCCATCAATAATCTTTTGTCTTAGTTCTGGTTGGATACTTGAACTCTATTTGTGGCTTAATTTGTTGCTCTTTCCCAGGAGTTTATTTTCAGTTTTTCCATTTCCTTGTTCAGGTGAGAAACAGAGAAATTGATTTTGACCACATTTTTAGTCAATTTCTTCATATTAAGTCCTCACTTAATAAAAAATAATTTAAAAAAAGAAAATAAATCAATGATATTATTGCCGTGATGAGTGATTGTAAATGTCTAACTGAAAATGTAAAATAAAGCAAAACATCAGAGTCACTTGATATAAAAACAGGTTTTATTACAAATTTTGTTAGCAGACCACTGCAGCTCAGAATATATTAGTTTAGGTTGTCAGTAAGGAAATTATCCCCACATATGTCAACATGTTATTGTAGGTAAGCACATTAAAGTAGCATTAAAACATTTCATATTTCAGAGTTTGGATCAGAGTGAAAATTAAATAACAGCAGAGAAATGGAAAAGTCGCAGTATGGCTCAGTTTACTTTGTCCTTTTCAAAACATTACATGAAACAGCTGGAGTGACGTTTTCGTGTGCGAATTCTGGGATATTTGACCTTTGTAACAAAAGATATTAAAAATCATGTTTTGCTTTTTAGTAATTCACTACAAGCTTGTGAATTTAGAAAGTCAAACATACTGGAACAAGTTAATAGTTCTGTGCTTCAGATTGAGTTAGTCATAATAAATCTCTACAACAAAAAAAAGGTCAATTTAAAATCAGCCGTGATGATCTGATGAACAAAGCGAAAACAAGAATTTTTATTATATCACAAATATCAAAACACAAAGAGCAGAATAGAAAACTTGCAAAATGAAAAAAAAGTAATGCACTTGTTGGTGAAGAAAGCTGTAAACGACCGTCCCATCAGTTTCTATAATGAGTCCTCATTTTTCCTTTTTCCTTTTTTTTTTTTTTTTTTTTTTAGAGCTGAACTGACACATCCAGTCTGTTTTCCTCAGGGTAAAGGCAAAGCTCACGCTTGAAGACTCCCAGTCCGTTTGCCTCCCCTGCAGTTCTCCGCTCTGCTCAGTAGGTGGCGTCCACGGCGTTGATGTTGCTGTCCAGCTGGTGTCTGAAGGACAGCCGGGCCTTGGTGGAGAAGTAGATCTGGGATCCCCGGCTGAGGCTCCCCGCCCCTTCGCCCTCGCTGCCCCAGGACGTCGTGGAGGACAGACGAGGCTTCGTCTCCTCTGTGGGAACTGTGAGCGAAAAACACAAAACAGTTAAGCTAACTTTACTCATTTTTTCTTAGTGTAAAACACAAAACAGTTAAGCTAACTTTACTCTAAATTTTTTCTTAGTGTAAAATACAAAACAATTAAGCTAACTTTACTCATTTTTGTTTTCATACTCGTATAGTGTTTTGTTTGGGCACCTTGCACTGACATAGCCTTTCAAAAGTATTCATACGTTTTAATTTTTGTTTTTGTTGTTTACATTTGGTCATTTTACAGCTGCTGACTTTATTGTTTTCCATTGGAATTGTCCATTTATTATATATGTGACCAAAAAAAATGCTACAATGCTTTGAAACGACTCTATCAATGATTTGAAAAGCATTGCACCCATTTTTATACTTTGTAGAAGCGCCTCTGTCTTAGAGACGGAAACGTTTGCCCGTTCCTAGCGAAATAGCTGAAGCTCAGTCAAACTGAATGGACAGCATCAATGATCATTTTTCAAATATTTTCACATGTTTTTTTTGACTGAGGTCTGAACTTCAACCGGCCCATTTTAATCCATTAATATGTTTTTAATACGCATGTAAACCCATTCTACTGTAGCTCTTTCTCAGCTAAAAAAATGTCTTTGTTTACAAGTTTTTTACTGCTTCTAATAGGATTGTCCTCATTCATCTCCTGGTCAACTCTGGCTAGCTTTCGTTTCCCTGCTCATGGTAATCATCCCCATTTCATGATGGGGGTGAAATGGTGTATGAAATTGTAAATGGTGTAGATACCATTTACAATTTAGCAGTAAATGGCATCTACACAATTCCCTGAAAAAGTTGCAATAAATAATTCTTATCTTCACTCTTATAGTCATCACAATAGTACCACAAAATATTGTAATAAAACTTAAAGTCCATATCCTCGCCCCTACTTATTAACACTACTATTTAACTTGTGGTAGCCATGTGAAATCCTTACAAAGAAGTTTGCATTAACCTGACAAAACGTGAACAGTGTTCCCACCTGCTGCCGGGGGGGCCTCCCTGCTCTTGCATCGCTCTTTGCACCGTCTGTAGAAAGGAAAACACTGCAGCATCTTCACACCCATGACCGCGCCGTCTGAAGGCAGAGAGGAATGAACAAACGTAAATATATAAAATGAATTTACCAGAACTCAACAGTGACTTTCATTTCCTCTCCAGCTCTCGATAAAGCAGGTTTATCCGCCTGCAGCTCGGCTCGCAGTTCCCCCCGTCTCGTCACCTGGTCACAGTTTAATGGGATTATGATGCTGCACTTCAGAGCCACGGCAGCTTAATGTGGGCTGACAGTATCACTGAATGGCAGTGTGGCCCAGCAACCCGCCACTCAGTCGCTGTTTACTGTGCCATCACCACCGCCGTCCCTCCCGCTCCCTAATCCTGGCCAAGGGACGTCAGCGCTCTAATGCACTTCAAGGAACAGATCAGCTACGCAGTAACAGTCGGCCGTGGATTTACACCGAGGTGACGTGATGCAAACATGTACCGGCTAAAACAGGCGAACAGGTCCAGATATCTGCAGGGAAACACATTTCTTCCCAACCAGCATATTTTATTCATACAAGCTTTTTTTTTTTTTTTTAGCATTTAGTTTTACACCATTCAGTCGGGATAGTTTCTTTTCCAGACAAAACAAGTCAGACCAAATCTGAACAATTCATCTGACCGAAGACGATGGGGTCCTTCGCTTGGAGACACAAAGTGTCTTTTTTTAATTTGAGTCTAATTAGGTTAACAAATGGGTCATTAAAAATGGAGCGCAGGGACCAGAGAGACTATAATAGTTTCTTTTTACGGTCTGCAAGGACTGGATGATTGTCAGAGTTCTGAGTACTCTTCTGATAAATCACTGTTAACTGTTTGATGATGGCAAAAAGCTGCAAGTGTTTGATACAGAACGTGTCCTAGTGATCCATAACTTAAATACAAACAGATCCAGTCTATATTTTTAGATTTATTTTTCTAGGAGCTCCTATGACATATTTTTCAAAATGATTTCATGTGGTTGTATGTGATATTTATGAGCAGTCAGCATCCTAAAAAGCCCAGAGTACTGTAGCATTTTTAACATTGGCAAAGTGCCTTACCTACAAACTCATCATCCCTGTTCAAAACACTAATTTTCAGCTATTGCTTACTATTTCACCAATATTAAAAGTTCAGCTTATTAACAACAAAGGAGCCCAATCTGAGTACCGGAGACATAAGGTAACAAAGGCGTTAAGGAAGTTGTGTAATTATGTCCTTTTGTAGTGTGAGCGACGCTTCTAGGTTACAGGTTGCAAAAATCAAAAGCGACACTTCCTGAAGTTTTCTCATCAACTCCAAATTCAAAAATCCAACGAGGTCTCAAAGTGCATAAAACATCTTGAAAGATACGGTTTGTTTGTGATTCTGATGGTTTTTGTCTGATTTAATCTTTCTGCACTCATATTTTCCACATTTATTAACAGAGTCGCCTCTCTGGAAGGGTCCATTGGCTGCCATATTGCTGCCAACAATGTGACGTTCTCCTGAGACGATGCACTCGGTCCCAGTTTTTATCCTACTGCTTGTTCCACTGCCTCATAGTTTAACCGTTTAGCTGCTCCACCGACGAAGCTACTGCTGCTGTCAACCATGTGGACACAGAAAGGTGTTTGTGTGTCTCTCTTCTTCCTGTTGAAGGATGAACTTGCCTTCACATGGCTGCTCTGTACGAGGAATTGCTGCAAAGTCAAAGACTCCCTGCAATCAGCTAACTTTTACCCATTTAACTTCTAACTCAGATCAATCTGAGATCTGAATTTCAATCTGTCTTTAAAATATGTTAGACTATCGTAGACGATTATATGTTACTAATCCGAACTGCGTGTTTGACATGAGGTTTTTTTTGTGAACTGTTGCTGCTGTTTACACATCACCTGAACAATCAATGTGAGCAAATCATGTTGATTTTCCGACTTAAAGCAGGAATGCGATTCAGAGAGTTGTGTTGCCAAGGTGCGATTTCTTAAGACATTTCACACCACAGACACCTGGTGATCTAGGAGAATTGCAAATAAAGCCTTCACGTCTTTTTAAAGTCACAAAACATTTTAGAAAGCATAAAGGTGGATGCAGATGCCTGGAGGATTCATTCGAGCTCTCCCAGGCCTCGCTGAAATAAAATGCCCACCGTGGCGCCGTTCTGTGGGAAAACCTTCGAGTGTGTTAATCCCCTGAGCCCCATTGTTCACAGAGGGACAGATTTGGATATCTAATGACAAACACTAAAGTGTGATTGCAACATGAAGGAGAGCGGTGTGCTTGTCTTTTTTTTTTTTTTTTTGCTGGTGCTTGACTCAGTGAGGCGGTTCCATTGGAGACTTGACAGCGTACACAGACTCTGCTGCTGCTGGGACATTACAGACTTTTTTC